CCTCCTCTTCCCCTTCTCTTCCCCCTCCTCCTCCTGTTCCTCCTCTTCTTCTTTTAGAATTAGCAGCAAACTTCAGTTCTCTATGGCCTGACACTGCAGGAAAAAGAAAAACCTGTCTTATTGAAGGCCAGTGACTCCTCTGGAGAATTGGCTGGGGAAGAAACTGCTACTTGGTGTTATTTGGAGGAGAACTTAACCAATTTTTCAAGAAAGAGATTTATAAGGAAAACCCTGTATCTTAAAGATGTCATTGACACGCATGCATCCTTGTTAACTTTGGAGGGGAAAAAGAACAAACCAAAAACACTCAGTTTCAGCACTCATTGACTAAAGCAGTAAGTGTGGGAGACAAGAAAGAGAGGGCTTCCCACAAGACCTCTGGAATGATCTTTGATATTCCTGGCACAGTCCACCTTGTTAGTCTTGTTTGAAGAGCATCAACTTCATGCAAAGTGGAGTAAAACCCCTAGAGCAAAACCTTCCCCACTCCATGAGAATCTTTTTATCTCAGGGTCTCAAGAAGATTTCCTTTCTGGAAACATTCTCCTGATGGGGTGGCAGTTCATTCCCCATAGGAGAAGATGAGCGGTGAGTGTGCTGCTCAGCATCCTTAGGGGTTGCTGAGGTGACCCAGCAAGTTGGCTTCTCTTTCCCAAACCAACACACTCAGTATCAGTGGACACGTCTCAGTTTTGGCCTTTGTTGTAGTTTTACCATTTGTATGCAGAATGGAGATCCCAGCCTCCTGATGGGGTGTTATTCAGGTGAACTGCTTTATGTTTGCTGCCGCTGAGCTACTCTTTAAGAGTGAATTCACCAGGAATTGTGGGGCAAACTGGGCTTTCAACTTTATTCTCAGAAGCAATAGACTCTGGAAAGTTGATCCCCTTGTCTTCAGGTCTATGCTATTGTCAAATACCTATCTGATAACCTCCTCTCACATTCTCTCCCACAGTGCCTAGAGGAAAACTGTAGTGTCCATGCATTTCTTGCCTGTTTTCCTCCTAAGCTGACAGCACCTAGCTTTGTCAGCTTGGGGGTTGAATGAAGTATATTAAGCAAGGGGAGGGGATGGAATTCCCAAGATGCCAGACCTCCTGACAGCGTTTCCCTGGGGGTCAAGCCAAGACCACAACAATCTACCTATTCAGCAGTATATATTACAGGGGCCAATTTCAGGCATTGTGTGGGCCCAGAGATACTTTTCTTCTTATATAGTTCTTGATAAAAAAAAAATTGTGCATTGTTCCTGATTTATGGAATTGAAACTTATTTGTACAACTACTTAATAATTCCTTTTCTTTTTGTTTCTTTCTTTTTTTTTTTGTCGGTCGTGGGGCCTGAACTCTCGGCCTGGGCGCTGTCCCTCAGCTCTTCAGCACAAAGCTAGCGCTCTACCACTTGAGCCACAGCACCACTTCTGGCTTTTTTCTGCTTATGTGGTACTGAGGAATTGAACCCAGGGTCTCATGCATGCGAGGCAAGCACTCTACCGCTGAGCCACCTTCCCACCCTTAATAATTTCTTTTTAAAAAACTGACACAAAAATGGAGAGTTACCATCTGATGGCTATTGCTTTTATTTGCCACACTACTCTGTGGTTCTTGTTGCTCTGAGGAGCTCATACTCCCCCCCATTCTCAATGTCTCACAAAATGTATGACTTACAGTCACCTCAAACTTACTTTGCTGTTGGTGGTGGTAGTGGTTGTTGTGTTTCCTTGTAACTTCCCCAAACTTCCAACATTTTACAAAAGTCTTTTGTGCTTCCTGTTCATGTAACAGAGCTGGGTTTAGCTTTCACAGATTCTTAAGGCCACTCCATTATCAAGTATGGCAGAGCGTGTGACAAGTGAGTAAGTGCCCCAGAATGAATGAAATACTCACCTTTCTTCTGCTTGCCTTCTTCCTGCCCATTTTTTCCCCCAGTCTGCTAATCGGACTGTAATTGCTAGGGCACCCATCTTCTGGAGGGGAAATCCTAATCAAGCCAGCATTCTGCCTTTCCAGGAGGTTGCTCTGGGATCCACCTCTGCCTCCTACAAGTCTACACCAGAGAACTGGGCACAAAATGAACCAACACACTATTGGCTCACAATGCTCCAGACCATCCGACTGAACCCTGAGAGCCCAAAAATGTCTGCGTGCAATGACTTTGTGGAGCACATTTGGAAGCCTGGGTCCTGCAAGAACTGCTTCTGCCTGCGGAGTGACCACCAGCTGGCCATTGGCCATCCCCAGTCCAGAACAGGCAGCCTGCCCCCTCCCCCTCGCCTGCCCCCCAGGCCTGAGAACTGTCGCCTGGATGATGACGGCTCACCCTACTCGAAGCCTACCATTGCTGTGAAGCCCACCATGATGAGCTCCGAGGCCTCTGATGTGTGGGCAGAGGCTAGTCTGAGTGCTGAAGTCTCACAGGTGAGGCTGACTAACCCCTGTGGAATTTTTACAGGAGCTGCTCCTCTTCTAACATGAGGTGGCTGGATGGCAGCCAGAGAGGGCTGTTGGAGCAAGAATCCTGCAGGATGGCTGCCCATGGGCTTGCCCTGAGATTGTTTTTCCCTGGCTTCTTGCTGTTAGGCTCTTTCTACCCTCCTTTTGCTCTGTCCCTTTAAGCTAATAACTATTCATCCAATTTCCTCCAATGATTTGGAGACGTGTAAAGGCAGACAACAAAAAGCTCTTTAAGCCAGGTGCTGGTGGCTCAGTCCTGTAATCCTACATACTCAGGAAACTGAGATCTGAGGATTGTGGTTTGAAGCCAGCCCAGGAAGAAATGCCTTATCTCCAATTAACCAGCAAAAAAACAGAAGTGGAGGTAAGGCCCTAGTACTGGATAGATCTCTCTCTCACTCATATTCTCTCTCTCTCTCTCTCTCTCTCTCTCTCTCTATATATATATATATATATATATACATACACATATAAATATATTTGTGTATATGTATATATATAGCTTTAAGAATATTTTCAGAAATTATCAACCACTAGTCAATCATATATATCATATAATTATATATAATATTTCTATTATATATACATGTTTATATATTTATATGTATTTATATATGATATATAAGTGTTATGTATAATATATTAGATGTAAATGTTTTCAGAAATTTTGAACTTAATAATATATATGATCACAATGCCATTATCACAGTTAAAATATTACCACCATGGCTTATGATTATCTAGTACCCACCCAATATTCATACTTCCAGGTTAGAAGGTTGAGTTTTGCTAGCTTTGATCTATGATAATTAAAGCAGTTACATCTTAGAGGTTAGGCCCATCTGTTCATCTCACTGGTAACCCTTACAAAGCTGTAATTATTTAGGGTTTGTAGACTTAGGCAGCTGGACACATCTCAGAGGCTATATGCTTAAGACATTCCAACAATGTCTTGCTTCAGATTGACTTCTTTGTATGCTCTAGATTTTATTAGCTAAAGTAGTCAAGATATGTGGTAAGTGTATGTACAAACAAAGGTCAGTTTGAAGTCAGGAGATTCTTAATGAAGACTGGCATTTCCTGTGGTTGCAGTGAAGTCCATGTCCCTCTCAGGGCTGCTCTGTTTCCTTTTAGCTGGTTACACCCATTCACCAAGCCACTCTGGGACCCCTTCAACCTTCACCTATATAAGCCAGGAGTCTTGGGAAAGGATCCAGATGCAGGCCATACTTCAAAACTGCATTTAACAGTCTTAACAGAGGAAGTGAGGAGCTTTGAAAGGGAAAGAAGGGGGGACAGTGATTTCTTTGATGGGAATGACTGGTCCACCTCTTGTAGCCCAACCACTTAATCAAGTTGGGGCTGAGGGCACCATTGTTAACTGGAAGAGAGAACAAATGTTTGGCATGACTTACCAAGAAAAGCCCGGACCCATCCCAAAGCCCTGATCACTAGGTGTTTTAGAAATCATTTTGATTTTATTTCTTCAGAATGTGCTGGAGCAGAGTTGTTTAAAAAAAAAAGAAAGAAAAGAAAAAAGTCAGCTAGCACAAAGCAAATATAAAGCCCCAAAGCCCAAAATTGTATTTTCCAAGCCTGGAGAAGAAACTAACTCACCTAGCAATTGTGAGGGAGAAGACAAAATGTTCTATTTTTTTCCCGAAGTTTTTGTTTTTGTTTTGTTGTTTTTATTTTCTTAACTCATAGACTTAAGTGAAAAACCTTACAGACCCTGAGAAGATAGCACAGTCAGTATCTGGAAAGATAAGTGGCTAGGGAGCTACAACAATGAATATAAGCTGTGAAGAGATCAGAAGGTGGGCAGGTGTATAGCTTGCCCAGAGTCCACACCTCCCAAGTTTCCCCAGACACTATGGTTGACAATGTCCCAGAACACGCTCTAATGTAAATCTTTTGACCTTTGGGCCTGTGTAGGTCATCTGGAGACGAGCCCCGAGCAAGCTGCCCCTCCCGAAGCAGGATGACGTGCCCATAGTCTACCTAGGCAGCTTCCGAGGAGTTCAGAAGCCTGCTGGTCCCGTTGCCTGCACAGAGGGCAGCTCCCACTGCCCGCCTGCCTATGCCATGGTTGGCTTGCACAGCCTAGACCAAGGGGAAAGGAGCATTGCCTTCCACCCAGTGAGCTACCCAGAGGAGAAGGCCAGGCGAGAAGAGAAACCTTCATTTCCCTACCAGGAGCTGTCCTCTGCTCAAGAAAGCTTCCGCCAGAAACTGGCTGCCTTTTCTGGGATGACATCTGGCTGTCACAAGGGCCCTAGGCCCTGCCCATCTCCACAGCCCCTACGGGCGTCCCTGCCCTCAGAAGATGACAGTGATCAAAGGTGCTCACCCTCAGGGGACAGTGAAGGCGGAGAATACTGCTCCATCCTGGACTGTTGCCCAGGAAGCCCAGTTGCCAAGGACACCATGAATGCTGAGGGCTCCCTGGGCAGACATGGCGGAGGGGACTGCTCACCCACATGCTGGGAGCAGGGAATGTGTGCCCAGCCAGGGCAAGAGGAGAAGCGCGTTCTAAACTTCCCCAGGGAGTTTTGTGGCCAGGGTCCCACAACGAACCCACCCCATCTGGTCTCTAAGAAGCTGACCTCAGAAGCTGCCAGTTCTGATGGCCTGTCCTGTGGCAGCAGCAGTGGCACCAGCAGTCCCTTTACCCCACACCTGGAGAGCGATTACTGCTCTCTCATGAAGGAACCTGTCCCGGGGAAGCAGCAGGACTCTGGCTGTCATGTAATGACCTCTAACAAATGCCTGGGACTAGCTGTGGAACCCCAATCTCCAGCCCAGCCCAGGGAAGCAGTACAGCCTGAACCCATCTACGCTGAGAGCACTAAAAGGAAGAAGGCAGTTCCAGTGCCTTCGAGGCCACAGGCCAAGGCAGAGCAGGCAACAGCTGCTCCAGGCCAAACCCATGGCCACCAAGCATGGGCAGGGGATACCTGGGCTCAGAAAATACCATCTGGTTGGAGCCGGGACAAGGAAGGCCCAGATAAAGCTCCCCAGGTGGCAACCACCATTACAGTCATGGCAGCACACCCAGAAGAGGACCATAGGACCATCTATCTGAGCAGCCCTGACTCTGCAGTGGGGGTGCAGTGGCCACATGGACCTGTGAACCAAGACTTAGAGGCCGGTACAGAGGAAACATCAGCCCGGCAGGGACCCAGCTCCAGGGAAAGCCAGGCTCATGGTCTGACTGAGACCACCCCCAGGGGGAGGCCTGCCATTCCCCCCAAGTTGTCTAAGAGTAGCCCTGGAGGATCTCCAGCATCACCATCGGCCTTGACCCTAGCCGATGTCGGTGATGGGAGCTCCAATGGCAGTGGCTCTGGGTCCCAGCTTTCTTCTCGAGGCCCTGCCGAGCTCACTGCTTCCTGCCGAGCCAACAGTGCCACTGTCAGTGAGCCTGCCAGGTGTCCTCCTGCAGTGTCCTCTTCGGCCGTGGACCAGAGGCGGCCCAAGTACCAGACTGGCGCCTGGAGTCGGATAGAGGAAGAGGAAGAGGTGGAGCAGGAATTGTTGAATCAAAGCTGGGGAAGAAAGACAGAAAATGGCACTGCAGCCCTTTCAAACTCTTCTACCTGGCATCGACTCCACCCCAGTGATGGCTCCTCTGGGCAGAATGGCAAAGTTGGGACTGGGATGAGCAAATCAGCCTCTTTTGCCTTTGAGTTTCCCAAGGACAGAAGTGGGCTGGAGACATTCTCCCCGCCCCCTCCCCCTCCCAAGTCAAGGTGAGTACTAGTGCCTGTGTGGGAAGATACAGTCTGGCTGTAAAGGAAGCTACTCATCTGTAGGGCCTTTATTAGAAACCTTTGTTTTTGCTGTATCTAACTAAGGCCCAGTCTTAAATCCTGCCTTCCAGGCACCAGTGTCTCTGTGAAGGCCCTGGTGCTTTTATGTTAATTTCTCAGTGTAGATTTCAGGCTCTGTAAACAAACCTACCAGCAGTGCCCTGCTTGGATTGGCTATCTGAAATAAGAAACATGGGGGGCTGGTATTGTAACTCCGTGGTAGAGCTGATGCTTAGAAAGTATGGGCCTAGCCCTAGCCCCTTCCTCCCCCGCCCCAACCCCCCAAAACCCAAATGAGCTCTTGCCCATGATTTTAGAATCCAGTGCTCTTTTTGCCCACATCTCTCAGAAGTGTCTTCTACAAGCCTTTTTAAGGAAACTGACACTTCATTTTGTTTAAGCAGGCAAAAGAGGGCCAAAGGAGGTTAGGCTACAAGATTTGGAGAGGCAAAATAAGCTAAGCTAAGTGTGTGCTCCAACTCTTACTGTGATGGTGAGTAGGCTTTGGTGCCAAAATTAGAAAAGAGGAATCTTTGCACATGTGGGTTATTAGAGGAAAAGAATAGAGTTTCATGCTAGTATGCTGGAACTCACAGCTTTCTCCACTGCCTCTCTGACGTCCTACCAGTTTAAAGTACCTTTGAAAAGCTCCAAAAAGTAAATGCCTTTTTGAAGCTAGTGAGCTGTGCATGGAATTTAAATTCTGGAAGAGAAAAAATTTCCCTCAGTGAAAGCAAAACTGATTTTTATCAGAGAAAGGAGAAACCTGCTGTTTAAAAAAAGGGGAAAAAATGGCAGCCTTTCTGAACAGAGACTTTCTCTATCTGTGTCATTGCCAGTGTTCTGCCAGAGCAGATGTCTTCTAGATTGATGTCAGGGACAAGGGAATTGACCACAGAGAGAAGAGACTGCCACATTTGACTTTGAACATCAAGGCCTCCTAGGCTGTGATCTGATCTGACAGGGGCTTGTTCTCATAACCAGTGCTTTCTTTGTTCTGGGATTGCCTTGGCCGCCCACCTTGCAGAATAGACATCTTCCATAGCCTCAGATGACTGCAGACTCTCTGGTTCTTTGGCTATAATTGTATTTCATTGAATGAATGAGCAATTCAGCAGCTAAGATGAGCTCCCATTTATATAGTGCTTCCTATGGGCCAAGTGTGTACTTTAAGATGTTAGACTTAATAACTTATTTAATCCTTAGAACAACCTGATGAAGGAAGAATTATCAGCCCAGCCCACAGACAACAAAACAGAGCTCAAGAGCTGAAATAATCTGCCTAAGGATGTTACAAATCTTTTATCAACCCAGCCCTAAGTCTGTGCTCTTGAACATGTAAGAGGCATAGAAACCAAGCAGAGTGTGCACCCAGTTTTGGGTAGCTTTAATATCAGAAAACCTAGTTCATATCTAATCTTTCTTACTCTCTGGTCGAGTAACCTTGAACAAGCTATTCACTGTGTCTGAGTCCCAAGCTTACTCTTCTCTAAAAATGGGATAAGACTTTCTTAACACTTCCTTATTGAAATGAGATGTGCAACAGAGACCAATGGGGAGGCTAGTTATTATGTAGGCAGAAAGCTATATAATAGGTGTGTCAGTGGCATCCATACCCCGCAGGACTCAGCCTTGCCCAGACCTGGAAACACTGTCTGAGCCTTAGAGAAAAACTTTCTCACTCAAGCATCACAGGGTTCTGAGAAATCCTAGTAACCATGGTAACACGACTCAGAAAGTGTTTTAATTATCAGCTAGGGTGAGATCTGAGTTTTTTGGTCCAGTGTGCTATGCTAAAACTTAGATTATGTATAGCTCAAATCAGGTAGGGAACATCAAAAGTTCTAGTTTCCAACTCTTTAAGATCGAAACATAAAGATAACATTGTTTTCAGATCTTTTGGTAGAAAAATTTAATATCTAAAATGAATTTAAGGGAACATGGGGGGAAAATCTTGCTATTTTAAATAAAACAAAATTGTCCCTTTAGAGCAGAGTTTTCCAAGGGTTGCTGACATTATCTTTTGGATCATTGTGTTTCCCTTGTGAGGGGCTAGGTGGGCAGGCTTGAATACAGTACTTCCTGAGTTCTTCTGGGGAGGTTACCTGGAATCCCAAAGTGCTCCAATCCAACAGGAATTCAAGGTATAGACAAATCAGAACATTATTGTGAATAAAGACCAGAGTTGATTTGGTACCAGTATGAGCAACACTAGGAATTATGGCAGGCAGTATTCCAAGATGGAAAAATGTGTAGCCTCTTTAAACGATGAAAGAGGTTAAGTTGTTTACTTCCCATGGACTCATCTGTTCAGTGGGGCCTGTTTCTAATGATGAATTTCTTCATGTGTGTGATGTGTGCTCAGAACCCTAGAGAAAGAATTTGTGTCACAGAGATGTTTCTTCCTCCTTACCCTGTGTGGAGAGACAGCCAGACCATCTGATGCCCTTCTTGGGCCATCATTTCTACAACAAATGACACTTATTTTTAGGTTGCTTTGTGAAAGTAGCTGTGACAAAGATACATGTTCAGAATGACTTTGACTTTCCTGTTGTCTTGGTGCAATTATTCGTGGGAGTAGCCATCTGAGATTGTGTCCTCTGAAATCTATCACTTATGTGCTGGTGAAACCTCTTGACATAAACATTCTGTAAGACCAAGAGGCTCCATAGCCATGTCATATGCCGAAGTGTAGTTGTGCACCCTCTTCCCGGGCAGGTAAGGAAAAGTCTGGACCCTTCCTTGCGCTCTGTTGCTGAGGTAACTACCTACCTATATCTGCAAATTCACACAGATTTGTAATGATTGAGGCACCAAATCTCTGGGTCATTGCCCTGCCCTAATTTAAAACAGGGTAAATAGGTAAGGACTGAAAAATACTGTTGGCTGAGAAACAAACAAACCAAAACCCCCCAAGAAACTGCAGGCAAGAACTATCAGCTGTTAATTTTAATATCACCTTCAAGACTTAAGGCAGTTTAATGAGAAGCCATAGTTCCTGGGGAAAAAATTAAGATGCAAAAAACAAAATCTCAGGTTTTTTGCCTTTTATTTCCTCCTCAGATGCAAGACTATGTTGAAATGACTTGTAACTTGTGAGTGACAGGTCAGAGGAAGGAGAATCATCTGGTTAGGACAGACAAACATTTTACAAAGAAACTCCAAGTAGGCCTGAGACAGTGTGGAACTGAAGATGACAGGTGAATGAGAAATAAGACAGATTTGTGGCTTCAGTTTCTACATAGTCTGTTTCCAGGTGAGACTATTCAAAACAAAAGATTTCCCCCAGAAAGTGAGAGATGGTTTTCTTTTTAAAGTTCTCGTTGGAAAACTTTAATTTTAACCCACCTCTTCGTAAAATTTCCCCTTCTTTCTTGGCATGCTGGGCAGAGGAGGTTGAGTCTGTTCTGGGGTTTTGGTCTTTCTTAAGTCCCCTTCTGCATTGATTCTCAGTAAAGAAAGAAATAGCATCATAAATAGAGTTCTCTTTTTTGTCCATAGAAGTGATCACTTTGATAACTGGATGAACCAAAATAATGTATAGGATATTCTGTTCTGTAACATGGTCCTCTCAGCCCACGCTCAAGGATGAGAAGAGAGTAAGATGCTATTTGTGTCCAGCCTTTTTGTCCAATCTAATTAAAGCTTAAGTTCTGGACACCTTTCCTACTGTAGCAAGTTGCAAGGGTACTAGAAAATCCCACAGTCTTGCCATGGGCTTGTCTATATGGCATTTTGAAAGTCAGTTTGCATTTTATTTAGGGACTCTTCTGTAACTAATTTGAATAAGGAGTCTAGAGGTAAAGTTGGTGAGAGTGAATGAATACTGGGCAGACTTCAGTGGGAGAAACTGTTCCCCTACCCCAAACACACAGAGTTTGGCAAATGGAACAAAGCAAATGTATCAACAATACAAGTTTATAGTGTGCTCATGCCAAAGGCAAATTAATAGTTGGCCTCTCTCCATGAGTTTGTGGATGGAACCTGCAAACACAAGACCTCTTATAAACAGAGTATTGAAACTGATTCCTGCCCTCCTGTTCTAATACTTTAACTAATAGTGGCTTGCAAGTAGCATATACACAACTTTTAGGTCTAAGTTTTAGCATGCATTTTGACTATGACTAGGAAAATTCTTTAGTTCATTGGGTAGTTATAAATTGCCTCTCTTTTATTGGACTGTGCAAGGTGGTAAAACATGGTCAGGGACAGGGATTCTGTTTCTTAAGAACTGAGTTGGCATGACTTGAATCAGCAGGTGCACAAATGAACTCCAAAGGCTTGTTCCTACATTGATGAGACTGGTTCTCATAGAGTCTGCATTCTTACTACACTCTGGGTTATGTTCTTTAACACAAAGGTACAATCAGTTCCATGTGTAGAAGGAACTAGTTATAGCCCTCTCCTTTGTCAGGATTAGCACAGGTTTGTAGGCAACCAAGTGTGTGTGTGTGTGTGTGTGTGTATGTGTCCCATTTATTCCTTGCAGATAAAAGTACACTTAGCTTCTATAATTCCAGATCATCCAGATCATCTACTTTAGTGGCTGGCACTTAGTAGATGCTCAAGAATCAAGTTAAATGGATAGTTAGGATAGTTACAGGTTGAAACCAGGCCCTGTTTATTTCTCTTTCAAAGCAGCACCTATACCTTCATGCCTGGCACATGGGTGAACAAGAAAGCTAGTAGCTTGGAATATGAAACATTCTGCACTCAGACCTCCTGGTAGCCTTTGTATTCTTTTCATGCTTCTCACAGTGTGTATTGCTTTCAAAGAAATCCATGTTTATATCTCTTAACTAAAGTACGATCACTTAGGCTTGTTATTCCAGCTACTTGTGACATAGAAATAGAATTGTGGTTCAAGGTTAGACTGGAAAAAGAATGAGACTGCTCATCTTGAAAAACATGTTGGGCATGGGTACACACCCTTGTATCCC